ACCATCTCCAAACAAAAACAAAAAACAAACAACAGCAAATAATCAGTCCCAAGGGACTAATTAAACACCAGCACATGCCACATTTCTTTTCTTTTCTTTTCTTTTCTTTTCTTTTCTTTTCTTTCTTTCTTTCTTTCTTTCTTTCTTTCTTTCTTTCTTTCTTTCTTTTTTTTTGAGATAATTGGACTTTTGCTAGAATGGGAAAAATTCTTCCTGAATGATTTTTCTCCATGTCAGTGTTTGCAACCTTCAGCCAGGTTCAGCATCTAAAACCTAATTTACAGGGGAAAAAAAGCATTTAAATTCTTTACTATAAAGTGAGCATATTTCACTGGAACAAGAGGCCGCCAATGGAAACTCACCATTTTTCCCTCTGGTTTTTCTATAATGACTTTGGGGTCATTTTCAGGATACCAATTCCTGTGATGTAGTTGTGTCATGTGGGTAAAACTGAACTTGTGAATAGACTTCAGAGTAAGTCCTGAGATATGAATGAAACTAAAATGAATCGAAATAGTCTCTACCAATGCATGCCTTGGTACTTATACTGTAATAGTAACCCCAATTTCACATTAAATGTATCCCCTTGTAAAATAAACTTAGGCTATGGGCTATAGGCATGTTCTGAGGAGCATAGACAGGAATGAAGAAAGGAAAGGGGTTGCTGTGGATAAAATGTAGACAAACAAACCATTTATTTTGTAATTTCCTTGGGGAAGCTGCCATCTTGTAGTTGATTAAGGTTCTCTGGCATGCTGGGGAGGGGATGCTGTGCCGTTGAACCCATGCTGAACAAGTGGTTTCTGAAGCACACATGCTGCCTGAACCATCTTTACCTTGATTGTCAGGGAAAAAGAAAACCTTCTGAAGGTCATCCTTTTCTCCCAGTGTGATTATTTTTCATTTCACTAAAATCAGTTAATTTGGAAGAGAGTGCAACTCTTTGAGAATGGGTTGGTTGCAGCCTCATCAGGCAATCAGACAGGAGATCAACACAGCTGTGGGGCCCAGAGCAGCTGGGAAGGAAGGTTCTCATCGAAGGCTTGTCAGGCACAGGGAGAGAAATTGTGGTTGTCACATGGGCTGATACCAGAAAGATTTATTAATGTATTCCTCCAAGAGATCTCTCAAATCAGTGCCAGACACTCAATGATAAATCAGTGGAATATTAATGTGGACTGGAATGTGACTGCTCTTAAATCTCTTCTTCCTTTGTGCAAACTATGATTCTTTTTTGAAAATGGAACACATTGAATCTACTCTCCGTCTATGAAACAACATACATGCCAGAGTGCCCATTATAATTTTGTGTATAATATATTTATTTGCATACAGAAATATGTATTTCTATTATACATTTTATTTTATTTATAGAATATATATATATGAAGCATACAGCATATAAGGGGAAGATATATTAAATATACACAGAGTTCATGCTACAGCGTGCACCCTTGTAAGAGAAGCCTATTGGAGAGGCATGGCATTGTATGTACATGCTGAGAATACATGTTGCACAAGTTTATCCAGCTGTGGGTGCCTTCCTAATCTATTTGCAACACCAGTGTTATGGTTGTTGACAGAGATCTTATCAAATTGAGAAGGGGAGCAAGTGTTGATGAACTAAATAGGAGAAAATAAAAGTCGATTGCATTGCTGAATCACTGTTGGTATCATTTTGAAATCCAATCTCCTCTCATGCCATCTCTTCAGGGTCAAAAGGCAGTGAGTAGGCAAACAGCAGAAGGATGTGGGATTCTAGATTCCATATATCAAGCCAGATGGTTTCTATTATTCTTAGTAGATTACTATATTGGTGACCTTTTCTTAACACTTGGAATCTGTATTAAGGGGATGATGAATTGGTCAAGAGGCAATCAGTTCTTTTCTCAAGACATGAACTGGCCCTTTGCATACCCTTAATCATCTCTTTTATAATACCACGCTGAGATATTTACATTATTGCTAGGAGGAGAAAAGAAATCAAGGCTGACAGCTACTGACATTTCCAGTGAAAGCAAAGATGAGTCATATTGTTTCTTTAAAAGGCTCTTCATTAGTTTGAAAAAATAAAACATGTTTCCAGTAGAAACTCATCAGACTAGAAGCAGCTATGTTCATGGACAATCCTGCAGTCTCTCGACCAGCATCTGTGACGCTATAACTTGACATTAAGATGCCACAGTGTTCTAGATGTGTGAGAGCTGCTGGTTTTAAAATGTAGGTGTGGTCTGTGCTTTTATCTGTGAATTTCAAATCCCACAGTTAGTGGGGGAGTGTTACCGATAGCTGATGTGTAGGCTTTGTTTTATTCTAACAAGTAAGCCATTTGCATTAATCCTCTTTTAAATGATGGATTAAGAAGTGAAGCTCCAGATTTCCCATATTAGAACCAAATCTTTTTTTTTTTTTTTCTGGAAGGAAGTGAGGAAGCCTATCTGTGCATTGTAACCTGTGCAGCAGCATTCAAAGCCTCTTCTCATTACATACAAATGCCTATTCCCAATTGTGACAATCAAAATGGCTCTGCCTAGCACTAAAAGTCCTTAGGGTAAAAAAAGTGCCTCTGCTTGAGAGTCGCTAAAACAAGCAGAGCCAGCAGCCGTGGAAGCAGATCTTTGGAGACAGTCTCGCTCCAGACATGTCAACATCCTTCCCTTATCTTCTGGTTCTGGTAGAGAACATTTCCATGGTTTGGCCGTCTATCTTCATTCTTTTCTTGAACTTGGCAGTTTCTCTTTTAATAAAGTTGTGGCAGCTGTGGCAAATTATCAGGCACAGAATGAATCAAGGTAAGGGTACAATAGAGACACAGAGCAAGACGAAGATTGGCTCATGGTGGGTTGGGCTTAAAGCAAACAGAGATAAATACTGAATCTTGGGCTCCACAGTGATGGTTCCAATTGAAGCCATGTCTGCATCACAGCAATATATAACCCATTAAAAATGAAAGTCAGCTGATGGATCATTTTTCTTACAGGAAACCAAAGAGCCCATTGAAATGAAGTTCTCTCCACACAACTAGTTGAAGAAACAAGATAGAAATAAATGTGGTCTTAAATTTCAAAATTTACATTTTAGTAATGCTGACCTAAAGGAACTACATAATCTCATTATAGACAAAATGAGTGTTCTTGAACCAATGTTATATTTTACACATAGGGGATTTTGAGGTAAAAACAACTGAAATTACTCAGACAAGAAGTTATGTTCATAAAGGATAAATATATACATCATTAGCAATTTGTTTCTTATTTACTTACAATAGTTTTTGTTGCTGTTGTCAAATCCCTTGTCTCCCATTTTGCTGAGATGCTGCTGAGAACAGCCAGGCAGAGTAACTCTACTAAGTCTTAGGACTTCATACTGATCAATTTGCCATGTAACCTTCCTGGGATGGACAGCAATGGAATCAAAGCTCATCAGTGAAAAGCTAAACTTTGGAAAAAGGAATTTATAACTTAATTTCTGTCCATTAGGCCCACACTTAGAAAATCTGTTTGGAAGACCATAATATATAATGAGAGAAAACATATGAAGACAAAAATAGTTAAATGTAGATTGATGTAATTGTGTATTTATTTAGTGTGCCAAGGATGGATTTCCTACACAGACATGGTCTGTTTAATGTTTATCCTTTAGTAACCATTTCTGTGATAGCTATTTGTGGTTAGATTAGACTGAAAAATAATGGCATGACAAAAACCAGATAAACTCCCTCATCAGATTCTGTGAGTGTATTTTGCCTGTGTTTAGGTATCCTGTATATTTATTCCGTAAAGATTAATATAATTCTCCTGATTAGAGAATTTTGAAGTGATATAATCTTACAGAAATTTGAAGACAATTTGAAGAACATGGAACATGTAATACAAGTAAATGCTTTTACATGGCCCTTTTCCCTACCCCTGTGTCTTAGTGTGGTTACAGAAAACCTCATTTGAGTATAATTTGAAAATCATCTACTAAGAGACATGGAATATAAGGTCTTTTCCTCTTGGGGTTGACACAGTAAACTAATCTTGTTTAAGATTCCAAATGAGCAAAGCAGCATTGCCTTCCCGCTGATAAAGTCAGGAATTCATGTTGTACACTTTAACATGGTCAAGCACATGGGTCAGGCAGGTTCGGGTTCAAACAGATTGTTCTTCTGACCCTCTGTCTTCTTATTTCAAACTTCATCTGGCCTCGGCGAACTTGCCCCAACTTGAGTGACCATTTTCTAAAGTGATTAAAATTTAATTTTAAATGACTTTGGTTTCCCAAGTATTTTTATCTCTTAGACAGACTAATCTGTTAAAATAGTTGAGTTTTGAAGGAAATCAGATGAGTGAAAATATGCCATACAAAGGAACCCAAGTGAATGAAATCCTTACAGATTTGTACACCCTCAAAAATGCAAGGAAACCGTGGGGAGAGGACAAGTGCCCATTTTTATGGTTGACTCTGGCCAGATTTAGAAGTCCTGCAGGTATTATCCATATACAATATAAAACCAAAAACTACAAAAATAGTAAAAATAATAATAATAATAATATGACCTAGTTGGGTGGTTTTTGTTGTTTTGTTTTCTTACTCTTCATGTTGTGAAAGGAGAAGAGAGAAGAACTAATCAGTGATTACACTGAAATCCTTCAAAGAAAACAGCATAGCCTAGAATATTCTCCATACTCTTCAGATTATCTACGCATCCTATTTGCTTTTCTCCGTATCAGTCAGTACAGTGTCTGCTTCTTTATGGTTAGGTCTCCGTGCTGGCATATAATGTGGTATTTCTTCCTCATATAGACACATGGAACAACAGAAAGAAACAACAAACAAGGTTACTCTTCTTGTGCAGAAACATGACGATGCGGATTTGAAGCCCTTCTTCAACAGATTAAGTGACAGCATAGATTGCTTCTTAGACCCACAATCTCGTCCTGTCTCTTCCACTGACTCCTATGCTGACAACATTTATAAGCTACAAGTTCTCTTGTTTACTTTTCAAACGGGAACATGGACAGGGCGAGAGTGTTATTCTAGAGCTCCTTAACTGCACATGTGCGGTAAGACTGTGGAGTGCAATGGCAGGTCACTAAAAACAGACAGCTGTCTTGTCTCTGCTCTTCCCAAGCCTCACTTGACCACCTTTCTTCTTTTGTAAAGGTCTTTTACCTTGTGGCGCCTATGTTCTTGTAGTGACACATGAGGAGGTGTTTGAAAGTCTTTTTGAAGGTGGCATTACAAAGCGCATAACAGGCAGGGTTGATGGTGCTGTTGATGTAACAGAGCCAGTAGCCGATTGTCCACACTGTATTGGGGATGCAGGGTGCACAGAAGGTATTGATGAGTACCATGACGTTGTATGGTGCCCAGGTGATGATGAAAGCCAAGAGAATAGCCAAGATTGTCCTGGTCACCTTCTTTTCCCGGGATGGAGGAGGCTTCTTTTTGGCAGGCTGCTTGGTCATCTTCACAATCTTGCGTGCTACAATGTTCTGCTTTTCATCTCCATTTTGACCCGATGACCCAACTAGTTCTACAGTGGTGCTCGTTGGGGTGCATGAGTCACTTTTTTGGGTTTTGGTGACAATTTTGATGCATGTTTGCTTAGAGTTGTCATCCTTAGAATGGCCCACAGAAGTAGAAACGGTGTTTTCATCCTGGGTTATTTCATCATCTCTCATATTGGAAGCAACAGCACTGACTGAGGTGGAGTCGTTTGAGCTCTCCTTCTCCTCCGCCTGAACGCAGTTTTCAGTCACAGCATCCCGGGGAGCCTTGCCATTCTGGATTTTGTTGTGCTCCAGACCACTGTCGCCACCTGGCGTGTTGTTGTTGGTTGGCTTTACAATTCTTCCTTGCACCAGACTTGGAGATACTGGGTCTTGGTTGGCCACAGGTTCCTTCTTCTCCTTCTTTATCCTACTCTTACTTGCCCGGGATATATGCCAATACAGCACAGTCATGATGATGACAGGCAGATAGAAGGCTGCGATGGCAGTGCCAAATGTGACAGCAGCATTGGAAAAGAACTGAATGTAGCACTCCCCCTCCTTCACAGTTCTCACCCCTACAATGAACTGCCAGAAGAGAATGGCTGGAGCCCAGAGGATGAAGGAAAGGACCCAGGCAGCTGCAATCATCATGCCTGCCATTTTCGTGGTCCGCTTAACTGGGTAGGTCAGAGGTTTTGTGACACAGAAGTACCTATCAAAGCTGATGATGAGCAAATTCATGACAGAGGCATTGCTGACCACATAGTCCAAGGCGAGCCACAGGTCACATACTACAGGTCCCAAAGGCCAGTAGCCAATCACAGTGTAGAGGGTATACAAGTTCATGGAGAAAACACCTATGATGAGGTCAGCACAGGCAAGGCTGAACAAGAAGTAATTGTTGACTGTCTGAAGGTGGCGGTTGACTTTAATGGAAACCATGACCAGGATGTTCCCAATTATGGTCACCAGACTGAGGGATCCAGCCACAAGGACAATAAATACCACTTCGAATGTCTTGTAAGGACTGGTAATAGCCAAGCCATTGCTAGATGAGTTTGTTGAGTTATTCATTTTGTGTTCAGTAGTCACGTGTCCAAAAAAACATTTAAACCTGCAGGAAAATAGAATGAAATTAACAAATGTAATATAAAGATCACTTCAGAACACATCAGATTCCTTTCTTTTGAAAAGTTTCCCAATCATTCTTCTGTATCCTGAATATTTACCATAATCTGTCTGTCCCATCCAAGAGGCAAAGACTTTAGGTGGAAGATTGAAATTTTTCTTAATGGTTGGTAATTTGTTTATGATCCAATAACGCTATAAGTGATTCTATATACATATATGAGTATCTATCTATCTACTTGTTTACATCAACAAATTCTTATGAGTGGAGCTGAGTAAACCAAATGTATACTTAGGACTTTCCAAAACAACCAGAAACATTTGGCTTTGAAATAAAAATTAATAAACCAGCAAGAGACAGAATATTGGGGCAGAACTAAAACTGTCTGTGTAATATTTATACCACCTTTCTTTCTGGCAGCTTGAGCCTTTTCCTTATTAATATTCGTGATGGTGTGATGAAAAAGACAGTATAGTAGCCAGTGCACCCAACCAAAGTAAATTTGTTTTTCTCATCCTGTTTTGCAATTGTAATCACTTCACTAAGTACTATAGAATCTCAAAAATCCCACACCTTGCACAAGAATCATTTCTTACTGTTGATATGATTGTACCAATTTTCCAAATGTTTTCTTTTTTTCAAGCCATCGTTAAGTCTATTGTTTAACTACTCTTTGACAAACTTTCCATTCTGCTGAAAAGAAAGCAATGGCCCAAAAGGTTTTAGAAGGCAATGAAATATCACCCATCAAGTCAGTGATAGGCATGCTACATTTGTAGGTCTTAAGTTTATATGTTCTTAATTTTCCTTTTCTTAGAGCATACTTTATATTTATTGTCTTTGTATATAGTTTTGTATCAAGCCTAAATCTTTTCTTTAGACTAAAATGGGAATTGTAATGAGATATCTATCCACCATGCCTGCACCTGTCCCCACCCCCAATGGGCATGGTCAATGCAACAGGTGTAGGCAAGCTGGTTATCTCACTACATACATTTCTTTACTTTCACTTTTTTCTTGTTCACAAGTATGAATTGCTTTTAAATAAAAATTATAAAAGAAAATGTAGTCTTATGTCTCTCAAATGTGTGTTCTCCCAGTAAGTATTAAAAGCTACAGAATGTCTTTGCAATAAATATATTGTATCATCCCCTTGTAGAACAAAGAAAGTTAAGATAATAAAAGAATTTAGGGAACTTCATTATCACGAGAACAGTGAATAAACAACTTACAAGTAAAATCAGCACCTTAACTCATACCTTTTTTTTTTTGTAACCTCCCTCTGCCTCCCTTCTCCTTTGAATAATTGCACTTAATGAGAAATTACTGGGTAACTACATAATGTAGAGGTTGCTAGTTAAGGCAGATTGCTTAGTGAATATGGGATCTTTATCCATGTTGAACACTGGAAACTCTATGTGATGTGAATTACAGTTACTATTGAAACTCAGGAATTTTCAGAGATACCTTAGTAGGCTATGATAACGCTGAAGTAAAATGGAGGACATGTGACTTAGAAGCAAACACAAATATTTGAAGCAGAGACATCCTCTCTTCCAACAAGATATACACACCATGTGGGGTTGTTTCTCTTCTATGACAGACAGAAACTGGCTTCCTCCAACCTCTCACCACTTCTGCTCCCCAAATTTCTGCTGCCATTAAAGCAATAAGGTTACATCACAAATGAAGATGTTCACAGTGTGGATGAACTTCAAAGCATATGATAAATGTGTAATGTGGTATCCTACAATTTAGTTTCTAACAAAGTTCTAGATGCATTTTGGAAGCATGAGAAGAAAACTTTTCTTCATCTAGTTCCTTTGTATACATAGCAGAGAGGAACATACATGGTCCTATGTGTTTTTTTTCCCCCCACAGGGTTTGGGAACTCATGTCATTTTAAAATTATTAGATGTGTATCTCTGAGTTTCCTGTTTAAATTCAATGAACTTTAGTTTCTCCAACTCTTTTTCTTTCAGCATTTTAACAAGGATTAAAGTGATATTATGTCCCTGAATGATGATAATCTGTAAAGGGTAAGCTTTAGACATGTACTGTTAAATATTTAAATCTGCCAAGCAGATGTAAAGTAATCATCTCTCTTAACCTTTCAGAACAGCTGACAGAAAAGGATCAATCCGTGTGTGTTTGAGCAATGCACGAATGGGAAGTTTTGGGGTAGAATGGAGTGGTAGAAGGAAGAAATTCTCATTATCAGTGATAGAAAACTTTCAACAACAATGCTGTCAAGAAAACCATCAAAAGGACAATTAGCATATTGTGAGCATAATTACTCTTCAGAGCAAGTCCTGGGGTGGCTGGTGTTTCTATGACATATATTAATCAAAGGATCAGAGAGTAAAATTACTTGAGATTCAAACTAGTGGCACTCTGTGCAGACTGTTACAAATTAATAACCACTGCTTATCTAAGACATACTCTCCTTAGCTGAAAGCATTTGCAAACACCAATGACATACAAGATTAAGTCTGGTGTCCAGATATCAAGTTGGGTCCTTGATTTATCCAAAAATGTGAGCATCATGTATAGACACCAGTACTAGCTACGTCTTTGAGGGGAGATGTTGATATTAAAGATTGGAATTAGTAAGTGGGGTTTGACACATAAAAAAAATGTGGCATTTGTAGTTCTAAACATTTTTCTAAAATCAATCACTTCAAAATTACATAGTGCTGGAGAGTCTGTTTATCATGTGAAAGACCCAGGTCACACACACACACACACACACACACACACACACACACACACACACACCACAGCCAGTGTATCCTCTTTAATGTATTGAAAAATGCCCTCTTACAATTCACCCACATCCACTCAGGGACTCTACAGTTCTAAATATTGACACCATTTTTGTTTTAAGAATAGTCATGGAGAAAATAAATTACAGTTACAAAAAATAAATTCTGGTATGTCCTAAACAGGACTGGAGAATAAGATAATACAAGTGAGACTTATACCTAGGTTGGGCAGAGCCCCCATTTGTAGAAGCAGTTTAAAACTGCCTCGAGGGTGAAATGAGCTGTATTTATTGATCAATATGTGAGCAGCCTAAGTAGTTTGAAGTTTTACTCGCTATTCTCATATAATTTCTGCGAGCCTAAAAAGTATTAGTTTCACCTTCCTATTTGTATAGTTGACACTGGTCAGAGGGGTGGAGAGTTAGTGCCCGATTAATACTCAGGCCTATTTGACACCTGTTATCTCTTTATTTCTGCTACGTCCAACCTTGACCTGGAAACTGAACACTCTCAGTGCTTTAGAAGAATCGAAACACAGTTGGGAAAAATCTAAGGTTGGATGGAGAGAGAATTAATTTCTTGAGCTCCCGATAAGTTAATTAATCCCAAATGTTCATCCTAAATACATGTAGGATGAGAGAGAGAGAGAGGGAATTGCAGAAGTCATGGTCTCAAGAGCAGGGTCGGACTGGGCAATGTCACAAATATCCTCATGACAGACCCATGTCAACCTTTAGCACATATGAGGGATATGCAAATGAATCTCATTCATTTTTTTATTGCTGAGTAGTAGTTATCATCAAATATGCTGTATGTTAATCTGGTAAATGATATTATAAATGTGTTTTTTTTTTTTTAACTTAATGACATGGAAGGGTTGGGCATTGTGGTAGAATCCATAGTCTGTTTTAGGTCTTTGCAACCCTTATTGCATCTCACTAATTAATGAATAGCATGGATTCTGACAATAAGTGTGCTTTTTGCCATCGACACTGCTAGAGGCCAACTAAATATGGGGGGGGGGGACTAAGGAGTCATTTATTTTAAGAAGTAGTGTTAGGGAGCCCTGTTCTCTGAGAAATGTTGTGTTTCACACAGTTTAATATTAATGCAGTTGAGGGTGACATGGCTTGTTTTTATCTTATGCGTTGTTAACTTTTACTGATTGATGAGTCATGGGGCAGTCTGTCCTTCAGATCTGTCTGTGTCAATATCCCACCTCCTGGGAGCTGGGACCTGGTTGCTCAGACATGGCGTGCACTTCCGCTTTTCCGGCCTTCAATCTGATTTTCCTTTGAGCTCAGACATTTTGAGTCGGTGTGGGTACCCATCCTTCCTTGTCAACTCCTGCATCTCTCTGTAGCCTAGCAGCAGTTGCAGTGGCGATGGCCACACGGAGGAGTGAAGAAGGCGCGGCTTCTCTCGGTTCTGGACATCTTCCGAAACCCTGATGTGAGCAGGTCTTCAAGTGGCATCAGAGGCTATGAGGAGCCCAAAGAACGGGAACCCAAAGAAAATAGGGCATGTTCTGGTCCACTAGGGATTTCTAATCTAGGAGCGGCACGATGCGGCTCACCAGCTACCTATGAAGCTGGACAGATGTGAGGCCAGGCGCCCAGCCTTAAAGATCTGGAAGGAAGGTTGGCCAGAATGGAGGGAAATAAGTATAGAGGATTCCTTAGTACATCTTCCCTAAACATCATGGCCCATCTCCCTCCCGTTTGTTTCCTCCCTCTCATTCACGATGCCTGACTTTTTCCTCGCAGTTATGTACCATCACCATTTTCTCAGGGAAATATGGTCCAGTGCTCTGGGACTTTGAACTTGAGAACCCGAAAGTTCAAAAAGACAAAAGAAGACACACACACTATTTACCCACGCTGAACTGACATGTTATTTAAAATAAAATGTCTCAAAAATATGCTTTTTAATATATATTTATTACTTTTTCTTATTTTACATATCGATCCCAGGTCCCTCTTTCTCTCTCCGATGCCCCCTGGACACCCCCCCCCCATCCCATTCCTCCCTCCAGTCCACAGGGAGGGTGATGTCTTCCAGGAGGGATCATCAAAATCTGTCAAGTCATTTGGAGTAGGGACTAGGCCCTCCTTCCTGCCTCTAGGCTAAGGGAGTATCCCTCCATGGGAAATGTGCTCCCAAAGTCCTTTCATGCACCAGGAAATACTCTTGAAGAAATGTGTGAGCTTTTCCCATTTA